CCAGCTGCAGTGTACAAAGGGAAAATGAACATAGTTAGGTCTTGGTTGAGAGTAATGGAGGAGGGCTTCAGGGGCAGGGGTAGGGCTATGGGACCAGCTTTGGCATTTGAAATAGGTTGCAAACATAGCAAAAATGACCTGGAGTTGTTCCACAGTCAGATAGACTGCAACAGCAAAGAGACTCAGAAATATAGTGGCTACAACACAATAGGAGCTTATTTCTCTTTTACTCAAAAATTGGGTAGACAATCCAGGGCTACACTAGTGGTCTGATGGTGCCAAGGAGCCAGCCTCTCTGTCTTTCCCCTAGGGCAGTGGTCGGCAAGCTGCAGCTTGGCAAACTGTGGCTCGCGAGCCACATGCGGCTCTTTGGCCCCTTGAGTGTGGCTCTTCCACAAAATACCGACTTCTGCGCATGGGCCACGAAGTTTCAATCTCACTGTACATGCGTGCCCACAGGAGGTATTTTGTGGAAGAGCCACACTGAAGGGGCCAAAGAGCCGCATGTGGCTCGTGAGCCACGGTTTGCCGAACACAGCCCTAGGGTATTCATCTGGTCTGTTTGGCTCCCTGACACATTTGATGGCTTTGCATTCTGGCCAGCAGAAAGAAGAAAAGGGTGATGGGAAGGCATAACCACTCCCTTTAAGGTCACAACCTGGAAATCACACATATTCCTACCATAACTTAGTCATGTGACCACAGCTAGCAAAGAAGGCTGGGAAATGTAGTCTTAATGCTAAGTTGCCATGTGACCAGCTAAAACTTGGGAATTCTATTACTATAAGAACAAAGAGAGGATCCTTGGGGTACAGGTCGCAGTCTAAGGGGTAGGTTAGGAGAGACAGCAATATAGTAGACCATAACAGCAGATGAACAGAGTTTGGTCAAATTATGGAAGAACGGGTAAGGGAAAGGCAGGAACAAGGACTGATGCCTGGGAACTGAGCCTGTGGACTGGGTGGCTGTGAAGAAAGCAGTGTGGTAGGAGGTGTGGGTTCATGCAGGTGGCTGTGCAATGGTGGGTGCACTGACCATGTGGAATTATAGAAGAATGTATGATACTATGATCTGGGGATTGCACGTCACCGCAGTGCCTTTTCTGGGACAGCCTGATTCTGTGGGGGATTTTTCTCTGCTACTTGAATTATTTGCTCATTAATTATGGGGTAACTTCACTGGTTTTCTATTCCTGTTTCTATTTTCTCATATGAGCTCTTTCCACTAATCACTACTGCCTGTGTTCTGGATGTAACAATACTAACAAGGATAGAGGTGGGAGTGGACTAAGGATTTACTGAAGTGGTGTAAATGCTATTTCACCTGAATGAGAAGGATGCATGCAATCCCCTTTCATGATCTCTAAATTCATAATCCCAAGATCTCCAACTGAGCTGCTGAAAGCTGCAGTCTAAGAAGTCAGACAGATTTGAATTTTCATGAAGCTATGTAGGAAAGGCATGTCAGTATATTTGTTTATTTATTTTAATTCTGCTTTATTTTTATTTTTTGAATTTATTGGAGTGACACTGGTTAATAAGATTATATGGGTCTCAGGTGTATGATTCTTTAATACATAATCTGTATATTGTACTGTGTGCTCACCACCCCAAGTCAAGTCTCCTTCCATCACCATTTATCTCCCTTTACCCTCTCTTACCTCCCCCACCTCCCCCTTTCCCTCTGGTAATCACCATACTGTTGTCTGTGCCTATGAGGTGTGTGTGTGTGTGTGTGTGTTGCTTAATCCCTTCACCTTTTTCAGCTAGTCCCACAGCCCCTCTCCCCTCTGACATTGTATAGGTCCCATCTTCATCCTCATTTTTGACAACATAATAAGCACCAAGCTAAAAGTGATCCTTATAAGCATGTGTTTCTTATGTGTATTATGGTTTGAGTTTTTGTGCCACGATTACACATGACATAACTGCCATTCTTCCCAGCTAAATGCCTCTGAACATGTGTTCGTGCATCCTCATCTGTTTCTTTGTAGAGAAAACATGCACAGACCAGCAGCGTGTTTGGAGGAGTATCTCATGATTCAACACCCTTCCTCTGTGAGCCACCAAATAGGCAGCAATGATGGCATTCGGTGCTCTCAGCTTGAACCTAACTCTACAGAAATGTGGTTCTTTAGCTCAGACATGGATGGTGCCTACCAGACTTGCTGTTGCCTCCAAGACTCTGGGACAAAGAGTGGGCCTGTCGTGTTGGTCCTCAAGCACTGACTTATCAAGAAATCTCCAGGAGTAATGGATATGAGGTAAGTTAAGTTACCTTGGTTCTGGTTCAGCCTTGTCACTCAGAAAACTGTGGCAGGTCATTATAATTCCATGTGCCATACATCCGTGTGTTGCTAAGGATAAAGGGCCTGGTTGGGATGGACATTCAATATATGATTACAATAGACAGTGTGAGTTCTGGATTGGTGGCTCTAGGGCACGTTTGGTGCCCTAATTTGGTTGGGACTTAGTACCCTAGAGCGAAACCTTTTACATTCTGGCATTTCAGAGTCCGAAAAAATAAAGGCAGGCTCTACCCGTCCACCCCCCTAATCTAAAGTGAAGCTGTCAGTCCAAGCATGGGAATGCCACCAACCTTGACAATATAAACATGAAAACAGTAGGGACTGAGATGACAGAGAGTCAGGAGAAGTGGAAGGGCTCGAAGGTAGGTGTGGTAATGACCTCATCTTATAAAACAGGAGACAAGAGATTTTATTGTTAGTTGATTGGAAAAGAAATAATTTTGTAAATAATACTACTTTACAAACAAAAATAATAGAGAAGCCAAAATAATGACGTACCCTTATTGGCAGGAAAAATGAAGGGGAAGTGGAGAGGGGCTCAAGTGAGTTGAAATCAATTGGTAGTGTCTACAATGGATAAATGGAGGAATAAGAATGGAAACATTATTTAGGGCTGTGGAAGTAACCCCTTACAGGGGGTAAAAGTGTTTGCCTCTGGGGACCTCAATTGGGCTGGAGAGGCATTCGAGTGCATCACTTGCTTTTCATTATAAGCCCATCAGTCTGATTTTTAAGTCTCATTGCATTTGTTAGAATTAGGTTTAGTTGCAAGCGACAGAAAACTCAAAATAACAGTAGTGTAAACAAGAAAGCTGGTGACTTTCCTCGCATGTAAATTATCCAGGAGTAAGCAGTCCGGGTCTGCGATGGCAGCTCCGCTCCACGGAGCCCTCAGAGCCACAGAATTCATCCAGCTCACAGCTCCAAAGGCCTGGGCTGTGGTCCTTATCCTCACGATCCAAGGTGGCGACACCCATGTTCCAGGTAGCAGGAGGGAGTGGCAAGGGACCAAAGAGAGGGAAAACTGGGCATAGGCCGTGCCTCTTACAGAAGGGAACTGGAGGTTGTCCCATAACACTGTCACATTTTATTGATCCAAACTTAGACACCTGGCTACACCTAGCTGCAAAGGAAGCTAGGAATTGTAGTCCGCACTAAATTTTCATATACTATACATATAAAAATTCTATTACTATAGAAAAAGAGGAGAATATATATTGTGGGACAATTTGCTATCCCAGCTACACTCACCTTGATATAAATAATAACAAAAATCATGAGCATTTAATAATAAAGCTATGTTTTCGTAAGAAAATGCTGGGAATAAAAATATCAAAAATTGGAATGGATTGATGAAAGGAGACAGGGATGGGTAGATGAAACTATGTGTGATAAAGCAAATATGGTGAAATGATCATTGTAAATCTAGGTGGTGGCTATGTTCACTGTACAATTTTTCAACTATTTATTTAAAAATTTTAATAATAAAATGTTGCCAGAAAATAGGGTTAGGAAATATAAAAGAAATCAGTTATTTTAAAACTTATTTTTTAAATCCTCACCCAAGGATATTTTTTCCATTGATTTTTAGAGAGAGTGGAAGGGAGGGAAGAAGGAAGGAGAGACAGAAAGAGAGAGAAACATTAATTTGAGAGAGACACATCGATTGGCTGCCTCCTGCACGCGCCCCAAATGGGGCCTGGGATTGAACCTGCAACCCAGGTACATGCCCTTGACCTGAAATCCGACCCTTATGGGCTGGCCATTGAGCAACAGGGGCCAGGGTTTTAAACTACTTTTAAAATTCACAGTATGTCTAACCTGAGAACTTGGTTTCCCCATCCCTCCACTCAAGTCTTCAAGTTTTACCCAGAACTTCTCTCATTCTTCACATTCTGACTTACTTTTCCTTATACTCTTAGTTCCTCCTCCTTCGCCATCGGTCATGTCCCTGACTTTCTGGCTCTGTCTGGGTCTATGCTTGGGTCTTGACACATGACTTTTGATGTCTCAGGTTTGAATTACCCGCTTGGGCCTCTCCCCACAGGCTCTGCTCTGATCTGATTATGAGGAAGAGACAGTCCTGGCCTCACTGCCAGGCAGGCTCCCCTCCCCCTTCCTCAGCTTGGGGAATTCAACGTGACATTTTGTTCAACAACTTGAAAGCATATTTTTCCTCCTTCCTTGCCGTCCACCTTCCCTTCCCTCACTCCCTCCCTCTCCCCCGTCCTTCACTATTTTGTCCCATTTAGCAGATAGCAGCTATACTGTAGCTTATAGAATGACAAAGGAAGACGGTGCAGTTTCTAGGCTATATCCTCTCTAGGACACTCAGCATAACGGAGAACATAGGACTAAATCTCATGTGGGTCGTGGTTGAGGTTGTGGTCATTCATTCAGTCATTCATTCAACAAATATTGAATGCCTACTATGAACCAGACACCATAATGGCTCATTGATTGATCCTAAGCACAGTCATTGGGGAAGCAACTTAGTTTCCCAATGAAAGCTTAATGGGCCCTGCTGTTACACCATCCCCGGGGGTTGCACCACGGCTGACCTTTGAGAAGAGCCTGCCTGATCAGGAGTCCATTTGGTAATTCAGTAACTTAGCACCTTGGCCAGGGGCCAGAAGGACCTGCACTAGAAGCATTCCCCCCACGGTGGCTGCTGCTGAGAGCGCGTGCCATTGTGTGGCACAGACCTTCCTCCACCACCTGCCTCGGCACCACACCAACGCCGCCCAGCTGCGCCTCGCAGGTGTGTTTCAGGCTTGGCAAAACCATGAGCGAGCAAACTGCACAGACTTCCTGCGTGTCTTTCTTCTCAGGTAAACACAGCGCAGTTTCTTGCATAAACAGTCCCTTCGTTTATTCCATGCCAGGGATCCTGGTACGTTCTGCCTGCTCTCAGTGGCATGACTGGGTAACTTGTCACTGCCCAGGTGGTCTTTCATTCTGTTGAGAATTCCCCTGCTACCTTTTCCTTTGGATTTTGCCATTCAAAGCAGCAATGATGAATGTATGCAGTGTGTGGCCTTCGTGCCGGGGTTTCTACCTAATATTTCCCAATGTCATTTCCATAGAATCTTTCTAGGAGTGGAGAGGAGAGAAGATAAGGATGAAAGGACAAAATGAAGCCAGGTAAGCCGGAAAGCAGAAGATGCTGCAGCCTCCTTAGCTCACTTGCCTGTGGGGAACACGGCATCTTGACCTGTTCACACTGTTTTGACTTTCCAGGTTATAGTGGGAAAGGCTGGAACGACCTGAAAGGCCACTTAACATCTCTGCCCTGGAGGTCTGGCCTCCTTGTGCCTAAAAATAGGTTATAATCAGATCCGTTGAAGGTGATCAGCAGAGAGCCATTGCCTGAGACCTCTTTGTAGCTGAAAAGGACTGAATTAATAATCAGCACAACTATCATTATTACAAAAGGCGGCTTCTCTGCTGGTTTCTCAGAACGCATCAGTTTGGAAACGCTGAGGGGTAACCCCTCCCTGACCCCCCTGAGTAAGAGAGCCGGGAGGTGGCCCTTCTGTTAATGCCTTGGGTACAAACTGGCAAGACACCTGAGAAGGAGCCTCTCTAATGTGCGCAGGTGGCTTCTTGCCTCAGGTAACGCGTCTCATTGTCCCTTTGTGCCCTCGCAGTCAGCTACGCTCTGGCAAAGCACTAAGCGACACCGTAGAAACGGCAGGAGGGCAAGCGGGGACCCTAGACAAAGAGGGCCGTTTGGGAGGAGGAAAAAAGAAAGAAAGAAAATCCCTTGAAACATCTTAAAAGCAGCCAAGCCTAAGCATGACCATATGAAAGAGACGTTCTCTTTGATTTCACCACGCGGAGTTGAATTTACTTTCTGGCTTTTTTTTTTTTAAAAGAGATTCTGTGGCGCAGATGAAGCTCCTCCAGAAGGAAGACAATGAACATTTGCAATGAGTTTCGATTCAAGGAGACATTTGGGGCTATGTTTTAACACAGGTTACATAACACAAACAAGAAAAGTGACGGCGAGACAATGCTTTGAGTGGACCGGCGCCTCTCTGAGGAGCTCCCAGTGATTCAGAAACGCTTTAAATTCCCGGGCAAGTTCCTGGTCAGCTGTCTGAGCCGGCGGCAGCCACTGCCCTCTGCGTGATGGGAGCTGCGGGCCCAGGTGCGGCTCCCCAGCTCCTGCAGGCTCCGCCCGAAGGTCTGGAAATGGCCAGGCCAGGCCAGTTCTCCTCTATCTTGCACCCAAGCCCCAGGGGCCGCAGCATCACTGGCCAAACCTCGTGTCTTGGTGCCTCCTCGGCTGCTGGCCAGTACCTCGGGGAGGCCACGGGGCCTGGCAGGAGAAGGTGGTGGCCTTCGCTCCCAGGGCCTGGACGTCTGTGCATGTGACCATCCTGGATTTCTGAGCTCTGCCTTTGTTGCCGCTTCTAACTTCGTGATGTCGCCTTGCTAATTAACCTCTGGCTCCTGAGTTAGTAAGCTCGGAGCAACAACATGCTCTCTTCAAGGCGGTTGTGAGGACTTGGAAAGATGCATGAAGCACGGAGCACTGTGTCTCCCATGGAGGGGTGTTCCCAAAAGGCTGCTTTCCACGTTTTCATTTTATTAATAAGGGGGATTGGTGCGCTGCTGCTTTGCAAACATTAGACAAGCTTCCCTTTTAGAAATGCTTTCTTCTCCGACGAGTAACTTTTAAGCTGATTTTACCTGATGGGGGAAAACATGTGGTTGCACCCACCCCTAACACACATGGGTACATGAACACTAAATCAAGCCTTAAGGAATAGAGAAGTCTATAAAGCAATGAGCAAATTGTACTAGTTCACCTGGTTTACACCTTTATGAAGGTGCTGGTGAGCCCAGGTTCACTGCTGAATAGCAAAGGTTTCACCCTAAATCACTGCCAACAACTGGCCGATCGTCTTTCCAGTGAGCCAGCAACGAGTGTAGGCTCTGGAGTCAGACCTCGGCTGGGGCTCCCCAAACTCAGTGTTCTCATCCCCACAATCGGGGCGATGGGACTGCCTGGCTCACAGTTCCGTGTAGGAGTGGGAATCATGCCGGTGAAATGGTGGCGCTGCTCCTGGGCACCACCTGGTTAGTGGTCGCTGCACTGGCGCATAATCATTGTCTAATGTTTGCAAAGCAGCAGCGCACCAATCCCACTTATTAATAAAATGAAAACGTGGAGAGCAGCCTTTTTCGAACACCCCCTCCATGGGAGCACAGTGCTCCGTGCTTCACGTATCTTTCCAAGTCTCACAACCGCCTTGAAGGGGGCATGTTATTGCTCCAAGCTTACCAACTCAGGAAGCCAGGGTTTCAAGAGGTTAATTAGCAAGGTGACGCCACAAAGTTAGACGGTGAAAACACTTTGCAAACTCATTACAAGCCCACGTTTACCTCTAGGCCTGAGTTACAGAGCTTTTAGCAACTAGTTTTGAGTGTACGCCATAGCCAGGCATACACTAAACAAGGAAGAAACATCTGGGCAGAGAGAAAAGGCAGGCGCAGGGCAGTCCAGGCAGTGGTGTGGTGGAGCTGGCGCTCAGGTGGGTGGAATTGTTACATTTCAGCACAGCTGCTGGAACTGCCATTCCGAATCCAGGCTTGCCTTGGACAGGGAGTGACTTAAAAAAACATCAGGAAGACAGAAATTTATGAAAATTGTATTTACTCAAGGCTGGAGAGAAGGTTTCTGTCTAGCCTGAAAGTGAAGTCATGCAAATTAAGAGGGGAAATGGTAAGGGGATACACTGAGCAGTGTTTCCCAAAGTGTAGCCCATAGGACGCAAGTTTCATGAGATGCTTGGTGACAGGGTTCTGTGGTCAGATAAGTTTGGGAAACTGTACATGAACTCTGCCTCTTTTGTTGTTGTTGTTGTTGATAATCCTCAGCTGAGGATATTTTTCCAGGGATTTTTAGGGAGCGTGGAAGAGAGAGGGAAAGACAGAGAGAATCATCGGTGTGAGAGAAACACATCGATTGGTTGCCTCTTTCAGGAGCCCTGACCAGGGCTGGGCCAGGGAGGAACCTGCAACCAAGGTACTTGCCCTTGGCCAGAATCGAATCCAGGACCCTTTGGTCCACAGGCCGATGCTCTATCCACTGAGCCAAACCGGCCAGGGCAACTCTGCCTCTTGAGATAAACAGTGCACATCCACATATGAAGGCTTTTAGAAGTCCTGGCGGGAGACATCTCTTGTCGGTAGCTTCTGAACAGCAATTCATCCTTTTTTGGCCACCAGCTCTGAGATTTCTGTTTGAGAGACAATGGGCCCCAGCAAATGAATCGCAGTGTTTCCGTGGCCATCAGAGGCGTGCAGTCTCCGGGACCAGGGATGAGCGTGGGTGTGCATGTGACAGTTCCTCTGGCCACTGAGACATCAAGGGGATGGGGCCCTTGAGGGCTTCTGGGAATAAAAAGAGAAGTGTGTGGAGAATGTGCTTCCGTGTTGACACTTCCCTGCTCTCTGTTTGCCCGAGGCTGTGTGAGAGGCTGTGTGAGAGGCTGTGTGAGAGGCTGTGGGAGAGGCTGTGGGAGAGGCTGTGGGAGAGGCTGTGTGAGAGGCTGTGGGGGCTGGCATGTGACTGCCACCTCGGCCCTGAGGGGAGGACCCTGACAACTGAGACAGGAGTGTCCAGCCCAGCACTGCTGCTAACGCCACGCAAGTCCTTATGGTGTGAGCCCCCCACGCGGGGGAAGGGCCTGCAGCCACCCTGTCCTCCTGTGCACTGTGGGGCTGTCCCCTTGGAGCAGACCCCATCCGAGGAGGTGCGCTGTTATGTCAAGAGGCAGAGTTCACGCGCAGGGTCCGTCTTCAAAACAGCATCTCCATCCCTCACATGGTCCACACTTGATGGTAAACACGTGGGCGATGCGGGCGGGAGGGGACCAGGAGAGAGAAGGGGCAGGTGGGTCCCAGGCCCTACACCCTTACTGATGCGGCTTTTTGTGCCTGAGTTTTACTGTCTGGGAAGTGAGGGGTGGGCCTGTGCCACCTCTCCCTTCCTCTGCCCGCTGTGAGCCAGGACCTGTGCCCGGGCCCAGAGACGGGGTCCCCACAGCTGCGGTCCATCTACTCTGTACCAAGTCTCTGCGTTTCCAGGTTTTAAATATCTGTGCCCCTTAAACGAGGTGACAGGACACTGACGTCTACTTACAGACCAACTGGCTACTTGCTTGTTTATGTTCTAACTCTGCCTTTCCTGGTTCGCCCACTGCCCTCCCTTGGAGGCGAGGGGACTTTGGGCCAGGGCCACCACCCCGTCCTGACGGGGGACCCCCCAAGCCCCCGCATTGGGCGCGTGGGGCAGGGAGGAGGGCCTGGGCGTGGTAATGCCAGCCCAGCTCTAGCTGCTGGGTCGCTGGGTAGCCCCTCCCAGGGCGGCGTTCCCAGGCACTAGTGAAAGTCCCACGCACAACTGGACAGCACGGGTGTCAGGTTCCAGGGCGCTGCGGGCCGGACGGGGTGCC